TGAGACAGGAGGACAGGAGGAGACAGGAGGATGGGATGAGACAGGAGGACATGAGACAGGATGAGACAGGAGGACAGGATGAGACAGGACAGGAGGAGACAGGAGGACAGGATGAGACAGGAGGACAGGATGAGACAGGAGGACAGGAGGACAGGATGAGACAGGAGGACAGGATGAGACAGGACAGGATGAGACAGGAGGACAGGATGAGACAGGAGGACAGGATGAGACAGGAGGATGGGATGAGACAGGATGAGACAGGAGGACAGGATGAGACAGGACAGGAGGAGACAGGAGGACAGGATGAGACAGGAGGACAGGATGAGACAGAAGAACAGGATGAGACAGGAGGACAGAAGGACAGGATGAGACAGGAGGACAGGAGGAGACAGGACAGGAGGACAGGAGGAGACAGGACAGGAGGACAGGATCAGACAGGATGACAGGATCAGACAGGATGACATCAGTGGACGTCTTCAGTCTCCAACATGCAGAGTTGAGTCCATGTCTCAGAGGCGGGTCAGATAGGATCAGGGACTCTGAGACTCACCTGGACGGCTGCTGCTCTTGGCACTGAGGGGGAGGACAGGTGTGTGCTGTCCTTCTGGAGATGCAGCAGGTCTCTGGGGGGCGGAGCTCCTGGTCTTGTCCTTGGTCCTGAACACACCTGCGGGCAGCAGAAATCCACGTGAGACAAAGACCAGGACCAGGTCCAGCAGGTCTTTATGACAGGACCCAGCTGCTAAGGAAGAGGAGTCCTAACCTTCCTCCTCACAGTCTCTGCTGGGGATTGTGGGTAATTTGTTGTCTGCCTGCTTCATGTCCTGGACATTCAGCCGACCTTTGTAAACACACCCGTCTGTCCCGATGATACCAAACTCCTGCAGTGAACACAAACACACAATTACACTACACACAACACACAAACTCAAAAACTCACAATCACACAAACTCACAAACACAAACAGAGAAACACAAAAACACAACAAAGAAACACAAACTCACAAACACACAAACACAAACACTGAAATACAAACACTGAAATACAAACACACACAAACACAGAAACACAAACTCACAAACACACAAACACAAACACAGAAACACAAACACTGAAACACAAAGACACACAAAGACACAAACACAAACATGTTTGAGCTCGGTCAGACACACATCCCTGCAGCTGTCTCACCTGACTCACGCCGTCCGCCTCGCTCTGGGGGAGGAGCTTGTTGTGCTGCAGGCCGCTGCGCCGCAGCCTGATGGGGGTGGCGGTGTGAACCCCCCCGCTGCTCCGTGGCACCACCASGTAGTTGGACTCAGAGAAACGCTCGCTGTGGAAAGAAAGAAAAGTTTGTTATGGTTCTAGCTGCAGGAGCAGAACCTCCTGAACCTGACAGAGTCATAAATCAGGCAGAGACACACTGCTCCAGATGTTAGTTTGACCCACAGCTCAGAGTTCTGATCCAACACAAAGTTCCTCTGTGTGGAAGGAAATGTAGCAACATGAGGTCAAATAAAGGGACAGATGTTTGGACAGATGTTTGGACAGATACAGATGTTTGGACAGATACAGATGTTTGGACAGATACAGATGTTAGGACAGATACAGATGTTTGGACAGATACAGATGTTAGGACAGATACAGATGTTTGGACAGATGTTTGGACAGATACAGATGTTAGGACAGATACAGATGTTAGGACAGATACAGATGTTTGGACAGATACAGATGTTTGGACAGATACAGATGTTAGGACAGATACAGATGTTTGGACAGATACAGATGTTTGGACAGATACAGATGTTTGGACAGATACAGATGTTAGGACAGATACAGATGTTAGGACAGATGCAGATGTTAGGACAGATGCAGATGTTTGGACAGATGTTTGGACAGATACAGATGTTTGGACAGATACAGATGTTTGGACAGATACAGATGTTTGGACAGATACAGATGTTTGGACAGATGCAGATACAGATGTTTGGACAGATGCAGATGTTTTTACAGATGCAGATACAGATGTTTGGACAGATACAGATGTTTGGACAGATGCAGATATTAGGACAGATGCAGATGTTTGGACAGATACAGATGTTTGGACAGATGCAGATGTTTGGACAGATGCAGATGTTAGGACAGATGCAGATGTTTGGACAGATGCAGATGTTAGGACAGATGCAGATGTTTGGACAGATGCAGATGTTAGGACAGATGCAGATG